CCCCCCCCCCACCACTTTAATATGAGGCCTATTTGATCGTTGGTCTGCCTCCCATAGTAATTAATACTAGGAAGTGACCATAGTTACAACTATTTACATATATATATATATTCTATAAAAAAGGGCATAATAATAGGGTTCTGCTGGTTTATTTAGCCTAGTCGATCCCCTATAGTAATTTATACTGTAAAGTGACCTTAATTTAGTTGCCTGTAGTACTGTTTAAAAGGATCTCAATTGAGCTACCTACAGACTTGCTGCTAGTTTATTCGGCCTGGTCGATCCCCTATAGTATTTTATACTGTAAAGTGACCTTAATCTAGCTTCTTACAGCCCCTGTATAGTAAGAGGTAGCTCCTACGGCTTAAGATCAGGGGAGCTATACCTAGCTCGAAATATAGACTCTGTTTGCCTCCTATCTAAAGAGACAAAATCAGCCTCTATATCTAAGCTTTCTACCCTGTTTTTGTCATTAATATCATCCTCTATATTACTTACTATTAGCTGTCCTAGATAGCTAGGCCGTGGCTCTAATTGGCTATTAGGATAAGCGTTCTCTAATATCTAGGTATCGTATTGTAACTAAGCCACCTCTTGATCTGTCCTAGCCTCCTCTAGCCTCTTCTTATACTCTGCGTTATCAGGATCCTTAGCTAGTCGGCGCTCTTTAACCCTTACTTAGTGCTCCGCGTTCTTGATCCTGTTAAGCCTCCTAGTACGCTAATATTCCTACTTCTGTAGCCTACTAGCTGCCTCCTTTTAGCGTTTATGTACCTTCGCCGCGTAAGCTATAGCCGTATCTAACTTGCCCTCCTTTTGTAGCCGTTTTCTACTCTAATTAGCCTTTTTCTTGTGTTGCTTAAGGATTCCTATATTAAGTTGTAGGTGTGCCGTAGTAGTCGTCTTAGCTGTATAGATCTAAACCTTAATCGCGTCTATATTACCGTAATAGCGATTCCTTGACAGGCTACTAAGTAGATCGCTGTTCCTTTGTCTCTAATATCTAACAGTGTCTACTGTCTCTCTTAACGATCCGGGCTGTATAGGAGGTTCGGCGCGTAGAGGAGTAGGTAAAGTCAGATCGTCGGTATTGTCTTGATTACACGGTGTTTCTATTACCTCCTAGGGTTGTTTGGCTTTGGGGGCAGGGTTCTTATATACCTGTATCTTGTTAGTTATAGCTAGTAGTAGGCGTTAGTAGCGAATACCTTTATCTTAATTAATACCTTCTTTTTACTTAAAGGCTACAGTCCTGACTCCGCAAAACCCTTCTTAATAGTACTAGGCTTAAACGTCTGTTCCTTAATACTCGGTAGATCAAATAGAAAGTTAGCTATCCTGTAGCTAAGCTTGCCGGCGCGTAGCGTCTTCTAAATAGCCTTATCGTGCTAGTGCTTGTAGGGCTAAAAACAAGAGACGTTAAGAGGCTACATTATATGCGTCATATAAGAAGGGAAGGCCTATAGCGTGATATTGTGCTTTAAACAGGTAATCTTAAAGTCGTTAGAGACGTAAGATTAGTGGCTATCTATTAGTAGTATATGCTTAGGGCTACTAGGAGTAATACTAGTATGCCGTATAAAGTGTTGTAGCTAGTCTAGAGCTAGATCGCTATTAATATAGCTAGTAGGGCTTACTATTAATAGCTTATCCCTTGTTTAGTTCTTATTAAACTAGTTCTCTATAAACCACTAGCCTTAAATAATAATAACACAAGGGATAGTAGATCTAATAGCGTTAATCCCTTTAACTATCGTCACTTGTTGTCTGTTCTTAGGGCTAGGAGTATAGAGAGGAGGGGCATCCGTAGAGACGTAGACAGTCTCCCCTCTTGCCATACTAATACAGAAGCCAGATTCGTCAAAGTTCTATATATTAGAAGGAGGAATAGCGTAGCTCTAGATATAGGCACTATAGTTGCTAAACTACTAGCGTATAGTATCTTAATCCTGTGCTGTCTTACGTTTAACGTCAAGAGGCTTAGTTTTCCTTTTCTTGATACTAGGGAGTTGCTCTTTACAGAACTTATTTAACTAACTAGTAGAAGGGGGCCCTTAGGGAGGGTTGTGATCCTTAAGAAGAGTTTTAATAGCAGCCCTGATCATATCACGAGTAGCTAAGAATCTACCGAGATACTAGCTAGTAATATAGTTCTTAACTGCCCGTACCTCCTGTTTATTTAACAGTAGTGGCCTGCCCTTATTAAACTCGATATATAAACGGCTATTATCCTTAAAACGGCGTTAAATCTCCTGTGTTTTGTCTAGTATACTAAATATATCCGCTACCTCTGTTGATAGTATTAAAGGGTGATCTAGCTTATATTAAAGCGCCTGTTAGAACGTCTTAGTGTCTACTCGAGGGGTGCCTCTCTTCTTCTTTCGGCGTGCTATTGCTACTAAAGGGCTTGCTAGTAGTGGGCTTGATTTAGGAGGGCCTGTTTGAGGGGTTTTAGGTAGAATTAGTGTTGTAAATGAACGCCGGGCTGTAACCGCAATATTAGCGGGTGTAGAAATCGAAGGGGATTCGAGTGTAGGATCAACAATAGTCGTTATATTGATTTCGTAGATAGATCTAAGGTAGATCAAGGTATTGCACAGCTTTTAAAGCAAGAATCAAGTCAATTGAGTGATGTAGTGATTTTTAATGAATATTATAAGGTGTTGGTGTTGTCTACTGAATATCGCTAAA